CTCTATAAATAAATAACTATAATTTATATAGCTTGATTATGCATCGAACGGGTTTCCCCCTAACCTACCCCAAAAAAGGGGTAATAACACAGGAGCTAACAATGCCAGTATAAAAGAATCACTCGTAAGTGGAGGAATTCCTACGCATAATAATAAAAAAGAATATATAGTGTCCTGCACTCCCTGTAGAAGTTATGGTCAAATATAAGTCGCATAACTCCCTCCATATGTTCATACTCAAGGTATATACTTTCCAAAAATTTTGGTGTGTTCTCTTTCACTACTTTACGTTATTTACATTTTATTAAACATGGTGATGACTCACAAACCATAACACAATCAAACATTATAATTATTCAAACAATTAAACATTCAAATTTAATTCTTGAAAAATTAGTGACCACGTAATATTTAATGTTGAACCCTTTTTAAATCTACCTCGGTGTCAAAGACACCTTAAACGCATAACACGTCATAATTCCTATCCCTCGGTGTTAAAAACACCTTAAGTGCACTAAGGCACCAATACATAATTTAATCCTCGTGTACATGGACACTTAAATAGCTCTTTCCTCATGCTTATGGCATCAATAAAAATTATATGAACCATAATAAAATTCTTTTTCAATATTCCAAACCAAATTAAACATTTAGTTTAATTAAACAAACCTTCAAACATGTCAATAATAAAAATATGGTTCAATTACAATATTCCAATATCACCAATTCCAATAAATAATTTATTTCAACCAATCATGCTTCACAAATATTTCACCAAAACCATTCTCAATTCAATCAATCCAATTCAAATCACCAATCTCATTTCAATTCAACCATTCCAACCAATTTCTAGCATGACACTAACTTGGAATCAATTAAATAAATCCAAACATGTTTCTACACGCTTAATAAATTTCCGAGTACGCCTACGTACCTCAAATAAGCTCTTAAAATTGCCGAGTACACTACAACAATTCCCGAACCAAGTATCCTACATAAAGGGACAATAAGTCAATAATACAATATTAATTACACTTGCATACACAATTTTCAGCAACTTAAACTCACTTTAAACTACTTAAAATAATCTGAAAATTATTTTAAAACCCTTAATTAGTCTCTCTTTCAATGGGTAATTAAACCCTTTTATTAAAATCAAAATTTTATTACTTTAAATAAAATTCCAGCAAAATTATTTGATTAAAACTCCCTTAAAAATTTTAGGAAAATTTGCCAAGAATAATACCACCTTTCAGCCATCTTCTAAAAATGGAACCACCTTTGATTTATCTCAAAATAATACGACCTTTGACATAGATCTGCCAAAAATGGAACATAACCGGTTGGTAACCTATTCCAACGGTTTTTTTGTGACATGTGTCACACTGTTATTAGTAAAAAAAAAATTTAATAATTTTTTTTAAACAAAAACTTAAAATTTAAAAAATAAAATAAAATCCTTAAACAAAAAACTCAAATCCAGCCCCTCCCCACCAAACCACCTACCCTCCACAGGAACCCACTAGTGGCCAAACGCCTATTCCCATTTTCGGTCGACCGACCACCTCCCCACCCTCAATTCTGTCCCCACTTCCCTAACATGCCCCCGAAATTCTGGCAGCCTCCCACCTCGATCATGCCTGAAACCATCAATATAAGCCCCAAAACTCCCCCAACACTACCGAAACCACACCAGTAGCCCCTGCAAACCACTTAGCGTCCCTCGAAAATAACTCACAACCAACTAAAACCCACCTAACCTATTCCCTAACACCTACAAACCACCCGCAATCTGAGGTATGGGTTCTGGGTTTGCCTTGAGGTTCGACGGTTTTTGGGGCAGGATCTTGAGGCTCGCCGACGGTTTGTTAGTCCTAAGGTGGGGCAATGTCTAAAGGATCACCAATCTTGAATTTCGCCGGTAGGAGGCCTAAACGGCAAGGGGAGAGGATTTTTTTTATTATTAATTTTAGTTCTTTTTTTTAAAAAAAAAACAAAGATTAAAATCATTATTATTAAAGAAAATGTTAAAATGAAAAAAGAAAAAAGAAAACATAACTAATCACAATGTGACACGTGTCCAATGTAACTTACAAATCAGGTTGCCGGTTTTTTGTTCCATTCTTTGAAGATTGGTGTCAAAGGTCGTGTTATTTTGAGATAAATCGAAGGTGGTTCCATTATTGGAAGATGGCTGAAAGGTGGTATTATTCTTGGCAAATTTCCCAAAATTTTATCAAAACATACTTTTATGGCCAATTAATCAATAGAATCATTAGGTATACAAAAGCCTCAAATTAATTTGTGTAAGAACCCTAAAAATCACATCTTTAATAATTTTAAAACCCCAACTTTATTTCTTATAATCTAAAACATAAACTCCAAACTAATAATCTGAAATTATAATTTGACAACATTAATTAAAACATATTTGATACCAAAATAATCGTGTTTTAGACAATTAAAATAAAAAATCCAAACTAATAAATTAAATTATAAAATAAAGGGGAGAGAGAGAGAGAGAGAGACGGATGGTGGTCGGCGGTCAGCCGACTGGGTCGCCAGAGGTCGATTGGCCGCCGGTCGGCGGCAATAGGTGCTGTGGTGGCGCCACATGGTCAGTGTTCCCATGAGTCACGCACTACATCAGGAAAAAGAATAAGGAAAAGGGAAAAAGAGAGAAAAAGAAAAGAAAGAAAAGAAAAGGAGAAATAAGGGAGAAAATAATTACCTTGACCAATTGACTTTTTGTGTGGGAAATTTTGGGTATTAGAGGAGTATTTATAGTGTATAGTAGGTTAGGGTAAATTTTGGGTTTATTAGAATTATAAGCTTAGATGATGAAAAAGTTGGTCCAACTATAAAAATAGGATGATTTGGTTTATAATGAAAATGGGCTACATTTGGATTAAATACTTATTGGCCCAAATATTAATACTTGATTTATTTATCATCTAATAATTAAACCCAAAATATAATTTATAATTATAATAAATAATATATAAAATCATTAAAATACGAGGTATTACAACATCTACTCAAAATGAAACAAAAAACCGGTAACTTGTTTAATAGGTTAACATTAGCCACGTGTTGCATTATCATTGGTTAGAATTTTTTTACTTTTATTTATATATAAATTTCTTATTTTTGTAATTTGATTTTTAACTTTAAAAATAATAATAATAATAATAATAATAATAATAATAATAATAATAATAAATAAATAAATAAATAAAACACTTCCTAAAATCCCCTCCCTGACTTCCCTGCTCCCTTTCGCGTTCCCGTTCTACCACCCCCTCCCATCCCTAAACCTGTTATGCCACCCCCTCCTATCCGGGTCCGAATCCTCTATCCCACTCACATTTCCCATTCCATGTCTCATTCGTTTTGATTGGTCCACGTCACTTTAAATATCAACATTAATATTAAAAAAATTTAATAGCAAATTAAATTAAATAAATTTTACATAATTTATATTTTAGTCCTTATCTTTTTTTTTTTCTCCTTTACACAATTACGTTTAATTCAATTGCATCATTTTTTTCCTGTATACTACCTCTATAACTCTAGAAGAACCCTAATTTTTTTTAAAAGTTACCTCAATTTATACTTTCTCTAATTGCATCCATAAATACTAAAGCACTACAATTCACTTTAATGGATACTCCACGAGAAGTATTGACAAGCGATTTCGACAATTTACCATACGAGGTATGATTCTTATTGAATTACGTATCTAAAATACTATATGCATATGTTTTGTTTGTTTTTGGTCATTAGGGTAGCTATTAGAGCGCATATTGATAATTACTATTAGTATAAGCCATAGCATTGTCAAAATTATACTGCGTATATAGTTGTTTAGGTTATGGATGATTGTATTTTTATTGATTTTTATATGCGATTTCTGGTGGTACAGAATTGTCATTTTGATAAAGAAATTGGGTCATTACAAACTAGTCGTAGATTATCTTTTGAGGAGCATGAGCAATTGAATGATAATGATAATGTGGTCAATAACTCTAAAAATAACTTTGAAGATAATAAAGTTGAAGAAGATAATTTTCTGCCAAATATGAATGAAATTCACTCAAAGCTGCCCAATGAAGCCATTCCAATGATAGGGATGGAGTTTGCATCAGAGAATATAGCTTATGATTTCTACAACAGATATTCTAGAGCTATTGGATTCGGAATCCGGTTAAGTAAATAAGTTTTATTTTTGTGTGTGTGTTTTCTACATTTTCAATTTCCTAAAGGTTTTGAATTTACAATGAAGTTGTATCTTTACTCAATTATGAATTTTTATAATAATGATTGATATGCTCAGATTGTTTTATCATGTCTATCAAGGATTCTTCTAGAGTTATAGAGGTAGTATACAGGAAAAAAAATGATGCGATTGAATTAAACGTAATTGTGTAAAGGAGAAACAAAAAAAAATAAGGACTAAAATATAAATTATGTAAAATTTATTTAATTTAATTTGCCATTAAATTTTTTTAATATTAATATTGATATTTAAAGTGACGTGGACCAATCAAAACGAATGGGACATGAAGTGGGACATATGAGTGGGATAGAGGATTCGGACCCCTCCTATCCCCACTGCCCATTCCGTTGACTTCACAAGATCCTTTCCATCGTTTGGGTATTGGGCCGAGGTTGGAGGAAATGTGGGGACCGCGTTATGTTGAAGTTTCGGCAGTGATCTTTGAGGGCAGCAAGGAAGAGTGGTTATTAAGGTTACCGTCACAAATGCCCCTACAAAACTAGAAATCACAACATGACAAGTGTCATGATAACTTGTTAAACCGATTGGTGACTATTTAGTTTTTGAGCAGATGTAACGTAAAAGTCGTTTTATTTTAGAATAATTTAAAGGTCGTGTTATTATTAAAAGCCCGATAAAAGATCATGTTATTCTTGACAATTTTTCTTTAATTAAATAATTTGATATAAAACTAATAATTTTGTGTAGCAACACGGGCATATACTAGTATAAAATTAAATCCAATCAAGAGTGAAACACATTCTCCAAGGAAGTCCATGGATTGTAAGAGTAAAATCTGATTGATTCAAGGATACATAGAGGTAAGCAGATGAACTGATGTCAACTGCAGTTGTAATATGCACAAGATTATACATCAATTTAGCTCTGCGGCCAAAAAAGGGGGGTAAAGAAAAATCTTGGCAACAAATAAACCACTGTCAAGTTTGGTAAAACATCTTGACAGCTAATTCTGCTGTCCTATACCAGGAGGTAGCAGCCATAGCACCAGGATCTGGAACAGAAGATATAATATCCCAGGAAGTATAGGTTGAGTGGCCGAAAAAGGGGAAGAAAGAAAACTTCGCAACAGATGGAGTATACTATGTAGTCTGTTGAAGCTTCTTGACAGCCAAAGCTGATGCTTTATACCATGAAGCAGCAGCCATAGCACCAGGATCTGGAACAGAAGCTAGAATATCACTGGAGATATATGTTGAGCGGCCAGCCTGCAGAAAAGTTCCACAGAATCATCAGACACATTGTAAGCAAACAAGAATATGATGAGAACAAATAATTTAGAATGACCTTTTCCAATGTTGCACCCTATTTTTAAAAGATTACTGCCATATACTCTGATATTTATTAAAGTGAAAAATCCCTCTAAAAGTCGAAAGAGTGACTACTAGATCATGATTTTGTTGCACAAAATACAGTATTAGTAGGAATAGGGAATCCAACATGTTCAACCTCCATCAGTAAACAGAAATTTAGTAAGATAGTTCATTCACAAAGACAACTTTTAGATTATAAGGATCGTCTCTTTTCTGTTATCTATGTAATTGGGAGGTATCTTCCCTCAGCTAACATAATCCATCAATCAATTTGGTGCCTTTCTTGCTACCTAAACAGATTCTTTCTTGACATAGTTGCACAATACATAGCAAGTGGCTCTTTTGGAGGTTTAAGCCCATAAATATGGTCAACTCTCACCTTCTCACATGTTAGTTATGTACTTACATCCTCACCACAGTGTTTTGTCAAGAATATGATTAGCAGAATAGATTCTGGTTGTACGATAATTTGCCTCAAGTTACCAGTGTCCCTTTTTAAACATATATTAAACTCATCAATCTGGAAGGCTTGAACATTACAAGGTTTCAAATTTAAAAATTAAGTTTCTCTAGTGTAAACACTTCTCACATGTCCATATGCAGCACATATAATGAACCAAAAGAAAAATCACTAACCAGCAGCTCAAATTGATGACCCTATCCTTCTTACCTTCTAATTTACAACCGTTTATCATGTGAAAAGAGGAGAAAAAAGGGAGAGCTAAACAGGGGTTAAAAAAAAATGTGTGTTCCTTTTTCTGAAACAAGTAAATCACTTCACTATCTCGGCTTTTACCCATCAATTTTTAGTTGTCCTTTTATTGTAGAAGAATCAATCTTGACTAGTTCCAATTCTTGGACAGGATACAGTACCTCTTCAACATAAATAACCATGCTTAAAAACTGTATTTATTTGCCTTTTCTCCTCTATCCTTTCTTTCCCCGTCTATCTCAAGCAAGAGCCTCACTGCCACTATCCTATTGGCAAGGCAATGGTAACCAACTAAGTCCTCATCCTCTTCATAAAGATTCATGACTTAAAATCTCACCTCTTCCCTAAATATGCACTTCGGTCTCATCCTTTATTACAGCTACCGAAAATTGGCCATCAGTGGGAACAACAAATCCACTCAAGTATAGAAAAAGCACCCACACTCAATTTGTGAATAATGCTTTTCATGCAAGTATAAACCCTAGATCTGATCTGTAAGAAGAAAGTTCCCATTGGTTGGCTACTTGGCTAGACAAAAGAAGATGACCACATTGACCAGTACCCGTATGACTCTTTCAAGTGTAAGAACTGTACTTGCACCACTTAGCTTTTATCCCAAATCAGATCAATCAACAAATGATAAACCCAGTTTTAATGCATTCGTGTAACATAAGTAATATAGAATCCTCCTGAAAGTAAACAAAACAAGCCCCTCAACTAACCAAGAAAAAAAGGCAAGAGTACTACAAAGATGCCCAAAACACTGCAGTAAAATGGTTTCACTCAGTTTTATTAACTATTATTTATGGGAATACATTTAGTCACATTGAGCCATGTACCACTTTTGCACATTCATATTACCCAAAAAAGTAAAATTGTTTTTACATAACTATAAAAGGCAAACAAGGTATTTGATGAATTTTATCTCAAGTAAACCCAAATACAAGGTCTGATGATGGCCGACTTTCAACATGTGTGGTCTACACAACCGCACAATGCCCTGACAATTGGGTGCCCATGATATTAGACAATGGTTTTCATTAAAAAATAATATTTAAAAAATATTCATACATGATCATATACAAGCTTGCATACAGAATTATTTTGAAATCAGATATCTCTAAATCAATGGTACATTGGTACTGTTCTTAACATCATAATGAGCAATTTAGTCCTCTATCTTACAGAACCTAAACCATGCACCGCAAACTTTTTATTTCATTTCTTTTAAAGACCCCATATTATCTATGAAATTAGTAGATTATATAATTTGCAAAGTCAAATGGACTAAACAGAACTAGATGTTAATGTAGAGTCAAACGGACCTATAAACTAAAACCAAATGATCAAATAGACCAAACATAGAACCAAATAATCACTAGGTTGTGTATGAATCTCACAAACTCTCAAGAATTATATCACAGAACTTTAAAGCTATAAATCTCAATCACTCACAAACAAATTAACATATAAGTCTCTTTTTATAAGCAATATAATTCTAGAATAATCTAACAAAAAATTCTAAATCATGTAGAATATAAATAGTCAAAAACTTAATTAGATTAGGAACCTAGCAATAATTAAATACATCTTATTTTTTCTGCAAGTAAACTCCAATTCTATTGCAACATTTAAGGGGTTAATAGTCAGATTCCTAATACAACATCTATACATGACTTATCTTAATGAAGTTGTATTCAAGCCCAATAGCTTTTTTACACACCAAACATCTTTAGCTATCTTACCACTCTCATATCTACATATATCACAATTATCTCAAAAATGATGTTGACTTTAATTCCTGACCAATGCTACTTAAATAAAATAAAACAATAGATAGACTTTTTACAATATAAAAAGTCAAGGATCAAGTTATTAAATTCAATTCCATAAATATTACTCCGTCCGTTCAAAAATTGGTTGAACAATTTCAGCTATAATTTGCCCCACAATATTTTGAACACGTTCTTTTGGGATGATCATAGCAATTATCTATTATTTCTCACGTTTCTTTAAAGTTCACTAACTCCTTTTCACGCCCACTTTTTCCGTTAGATTAACCATAGAAATACCCCACTAAATTTCATCAAATAGATTTTTCAGTTAAAATAATACTTGATAACCTAACAGCAACTATGATCAACTATTTGTAGTGATAAGAGTTTAAAATAATGTGAGACAAAGGAAATAAAAATTGAAAGATTTATAACAAAATATCTCTTCTTTTTTTTCTGGCATTTAAAAGACTATAAGTACAAAACCTCTAGAATTTTTAAACAACTCTGGTGTGATTAAGGTTTAAAAAATCAAGCCATTTGAGAAAACAACCTGTGCAGGCATGTCCTTAGTAGACATTGCACCACTAATAGCAGCTTCAGATGAGAGAACAAAAGCATCGACAGGATCATCCCCAGCATTTAGTCTCTGCATGTAATGACAGAACATTAATTCAGCAGGGAAGGATCTAACTTTAATGGTTCAAAGAGAACACATTCAATAGAAACCCAACCTCTTGAAGTAATTCTGAAGCTGGAATAAGAGCATCTAACAGTGTGCGGTAGCCAGCACTCGCCCCTCCATACTTACTCACAGCAGCGATAGCAGCCTGAAGTGCCGACGCCCCTAATAAATAGCAGTTGTTAATGAACTCATATCTATGATTGACATATTTAAACAGATTTCAATCTTACATTCTTTAGATGTAACTGTGCCCTGGTTGGTAGACTTCAATTCAGCATATGCTGCCTTGAAGAGGATGTCATATCTGTTTCAAGAATAAAGCTCAAGTCTCAGTGCTTAGAAAGACCAAGAAAACAAAAAACAAACACGAACTTGCCGCATGTGATAAGGGGAAGCTAAGATAAGCAGAAGGGAAAACTACCATACATTATACCACTTGTCCCTCCCATGACCCTTCTGATAGAAGATCCAATCTCCTTTACAGTCTCTGTTACATCATTCAAAGGATAACTAGATAAAAGTACAAAATATATAAAAAGTTAGAATTTGCGAAAAATTCTTATAAACTATTCATGATAAGAGTTTTTATAAATAACATGTTACATTCAAAAGAGAAAGGACCAAAGGCCCACTGAATTTTTGGAGGAAGTACGTAAATGATATGCATTGGATTAAAGAACTACTAGTAATAAAGAGTTGACACAGTTACCAAAAAAAAAAAAAAAAAAAAAAAAAAAAAAAAGAGAGAAGTCAATAAAAAATCACAAGGCACTATCTTATACTGTTGCTACTCTGCTAGCACATAGAACTCCTACCAGCTATGAAACTCAGGCTAAGAAAAGTGTAAGAATCAATAATATAGCAAGAATCTGTAATTTAATATACTGGGGATAAGGCAGCATGAACCAAATTAGGATCTAGAATTATGCAGGAACATCATAGGACATCATCAAAGATTTATTTATTTATTTTAATAACTAGTTAAAATTGATCTATTAGTCAAGATTCAGAGAATCTAAAAATTTCTTCCAGGTATTTATGTCCTTTTTTATAATATGTTTCTTAGCTTATTTTATACATGTACACTTTGATCAAATTCTCAATCAAAATAAAATATAGATGAATTATTAAATTAATCAAATCAATATAACCATCTAAATATTGATGCATTTAGAGAGAAAATTTGAACTAAAACGGCCACTTTACCAAATAAAAAAATAGACCTGTTCTATTGTTCTCAAAACCTATTATTACATTAAATGCATTGACTGATGGATTTCACTTCCAATCTGAGGCCAACTTTCCCCTCATAAATTCTTTTAAACATAAATCCTACCCTAGTCTACTGGTATATGAAAAGAAAAGAGAGAAACAAAAGATTTGATGGTAAACAAATATAATACAACACTCTCCAAGGCTTCATGTAATCCATTGTTTGCCTGAGCTTTCTGCTATCTAACACAAGTTTGTCGTATCACTTTTCCCACAAATAATACAACACAAGTTTGTCGTATCACTTTTCCCACAATCAGCTTAAGACAAACAATTAAAGTGACAGCTATAATAACCCTCACAAGTAAATGACTTTTCTCACTGATACGTCTAAGCTAAGTACCAAAACATTGACAATCAAATGCTAAGCTCATTCTTGTTGTTTCAAAAACTTACATTCTTTTGAAATCAAGATGAGAATATATGGACTTCCTTTATCTTTTATTCTTATAAGGATCACTGCAATACTAAGCAAGCTTCACCTGAAAAATTCCCCTCCCCCCCCCCAACCCACCCACCCCCTCTTCGTATCCCCATGCATAGTTGGCTTCCTCAACAATAAATCGTAGTGTAACAACACCAAGCATAGAAGTACAAATACCAACTATCATACTGCAGCAGATTAAATCTTCCATGATAAAGGGCATCATGAATGCATAAAACAGAAAAAAGAAATGCGAAAAATAGCAGCAGGAAAATCAAATATGAATCACTTATAGCTTCGTAACACAAAAAAGATATTTCAAGCAAGTCAAAAGTAACTTACTATTTTTTCATGTCTTCTAAAATTGCAGAAGCTCCACGAAACATCTAGAACACTCAAGTTATTAGAACTGTGTGGTGTACATCTCATACTTGCAAGCATGTAAGATACATAGAAATTTAGAAGGAAATACATACAGTAGATCCACAATCACCATCACCAACTTTACTATCCCATTCATTAAGAGCATCCCTCATGTTGATCAATTCACTGGCTGCAGCTTCAATAGCCACCTCAAGAGTATGACAATGTTCACTTAATTCTTGTGGCCGAGTAGAGAGCTGGTGAATCAATACCACAGTCAGCTTCATTAATAGATAAATTAAAATGGGTATTTGAAAATCATGGTACATAGCTTGCTAAAATACTTTCAGTTGATAGCATTGCATGAACTAGTGCGCACTAGTGATGAACAGACGACTGCAGTTAGTTTATAACACAAGTCCATGGTGGTCAAGAATGGAACTGTCAGAGGCTCAAAGAGATTGGTTTTGCTAGGTTACGCAACAGTATAAGAGCCAGTGTACAGCTTGTATAGAGAGAAAAGAACACAATCCACTTTTAAAGCTGTAAAAATTTCTACCAGGTGACGTATCAACTTTGGATTACAATAGAATTATAAAACTTCCAGGTCTATAAATGCAACTTATGATTAACGGTATAGCCATCAGAGCCTCCTAGAAATCTTTAAAACATGGATAAAGCTGCATATAAATGAGCCTCAGGCCACCAAACCTGGAGGTTAGTTTAAGAAATTGGAAAAATAATACTAAAATAAAATGGATCCCTGACAGGAAAATGTGAAGACAGTGACCATAATATAATTATAGACTCCAAAAAGACCATTCAAATATGACAATGTTTAAACATCTCCCTTGCTACAAATCAAATAAAATATGGAAGGACTTAAGATACAGTTCCAAAAGCTCGTATATTTTAAACAGCTTCTATGAATTCCTTCCTAGAACATGACAATTGTAATTTGCCAGAAAATGGAATATATTCAAACCAACACTGACAGGAGCGTCAAGGAGGGGCCTATAACCTCAGGCACTACTCAATTTCTTAAAAAGCATGACATACCTCATTGCACTTTAATAATGGAGATTGCGGAACTGGGACAGGAATCTTTGCAGGTGGACGGTTACCTGAAAAATAACCACATGTAATGAACTACATGGAAAGGACCTGATTTATTGATTTTGCCAAATCAGCTAGTGGGTTTTGACAATGATTTCTAATCAAGTAGAAGAAAATTAACAAAAGATATATCTGTCTTTATCTTAAAGTTCAAACCACTTACCATCCACACCAACAGGCCAAGCTAGAGCCTTTGTTGGAGCATCTAGTCGTTGCAGAATTCCTTCATCAACCTTCATGACAGTAATTGACAATCCTGACAGCATTGAAAAAATCAAACACAAAAGAATCATCCAAATAAAATACTCCTTTGCTTCAATAGGGCCCTACCTGCCATATCAAGGGAAGTCATAAAAGAACCAGTATACACTCGATCAACAGCAAGTCCATGCTCCAACTGCAACCTAGGAACAGCTTTTCCTGCAGCGACCATCAATTCCATCACAGGAGTGGCACCCAACCTGTGACATAAAGAACAGTGTCACAAAATGTAATGCAACAGCAACAAAAAATAATATGATAACATCATCAATGCTTTCAAAACATTAAACGAGTGTTCCTGTCTCCGTGAAGTAGACCAAATCTAGAAAGCAATATGCAAAGGACTAGCTATCATAAATGTGACAAGCACATTGAGGTTCCACATTAAACAAACCTCTCAGCAGATATCTCTATAATAGAGTTAATCAGGATAGTATTCATTTATTCACAGATCAATAAAAGCAGAATAAGTCACGCTAAAATTGTCTTAACGAGAAATATATCAAATCATTATAACTTTTTAACAAATAAAATAAAATCCACACATGGCCCCAGTAGATCAGTAACATTGTCCGAAAGGTGGAGACTCCTACGCTCCTCTTAACTAGTATTTTCGTGAAAATTCGTTCATTAAGGAGAAAGAACAAAGACTTATACATAGCATATCAAATCTATCAATACCCAAATTTTTATTGAGATTGTAGATGACATATACAGCACAAACAGTCAAAACACTTCAAACCACCAAAGGCCCATGAACCTACCCATTAATCATGAGGACTACATTATTTCCGCGTTCAATAGGCACGTAATTAGTTTCCTGCAATGAAAAGTCTATGATGAGGCAAGATATGATATGCAGGAAAAGATACAATAAACAGGCCCACCACAAGTTTGAAGCCAAATACCATATGAAGGTAATCATTTCATTGAGCTTCTACAGGGCTTCCCCAAAGTCATAGGTCAAGTGAAATAAAATGATAATAACTGAATTCCAGACCAATGAACATGTTCTACACAAATTTATCAAACAATATCTTAAAACTACTAACAAAAGACTATGCATCACCTTAGAAAAAAATCAGAAGCAAAGTGTCACTAGGATAAGTGGTAAAAAAAGGGTGAAAAATAATGAATTACGTGTTCCCCGTTTTTTGAAGCTCCGTAAGGAAGAATCACTTAAAAAAACCCACTTAGAGGCATAAGAATTTTAGATAACCAAGCAGAGACAAATAAAAGAGAATGATAACATTTTTCTCAAAATCAAATGGACCACACACATAGGCAAAAACACATCACACCCTACAAGATTCTAGTCACTAGTCAGCTCTCCCACAACCCATTTGATGAAAGTTGCACATACTCAGGATTTTTCTTTTCTTTTTTTAAGCATTTTTTTTATATGTGATGAATGAAAATTGTGATTATATAATTGTCAGAAGAATGAGCTGTCCTCAGTAAACAGCAAAAGTTACAAAGACCCAGTTTCTCTAAATCTCTGAAATTAAGTAACTCTCAGTCTCTCATAGCCCAATAATGTACTTAGTACATGATTGAGAGGATCAGAAAAGATATGCAAATCTTATTCCAATGTCCAACGAGAAACAACAAACTTAGATTTCTAATTTTGATCCAACTAATTAAGAAAAAAAAAATTGATAATAAACAATTTAAGGTGAATTTTTCCAGTCAAGTCATTTTTAAAAATCCCCATCAGCCTTAGCAAACAGAGACACAATAAGTAATTTTACCCTACTCTTCCCAAATGCATCTGTGTATCCCAGCCAGATATTACAGATTCACCACTAAGCCTGGTAGGACTTGATCTGAACTTTTTTGCTCATTCTTAAGTTATTCCCCAGACCTTATCCCCGTCCATTACCTCAGCCTTATAAGCAACCAAGGCAAGCTTTTCAAAACCAAACTCGTTGAACACTTGAACCCCCAATGCCAAAGGTTACAAAACAAATATGCAGCAGCACCAAAACAGTGAAAGTGAAAACCCAGCACTCCCCATACACATCAACAAGCCTTCACCAGACATTACATTCCACCTAAGCATATCTAGCTAATGCCAAAGTCAAACAAAGCTCTCACCATAAGAGTAACTTTAGCCTTCCAAGTAAAAATGCAAATTGTGAAAAGGGGGAAATCCAGGGCATATTTTAGCAATGCAAGAATAATCTTAAAACAAAGCTTCATCATGAATCACCCGCTCACCTTCCAACAAAAAGATGGGACAGAACCTTGAAACAAGCTATGCACTCCAAAACTTAGAAAAATTCACCATGTACCCTAATTAATTTCTTCCGTTCTTCATTAGTTGACCCGTTTCATTTTGGCGAGTATCTTAAGGAAGGAAGTAAGATATATTTGCCCTCCACTTTACTCCCTCACATTATTATTACCCCACCGCTTTTTTTACTCCTGGACCAAATGTGGTTATCATCTTCATTGATTACTGGAGTCTCTTCTTCTTTAACAAGAACACTCACTGCACTAAATTCCAGAAGTCGTATAGATTAAATATTCAAAATAAATAAAAAATCCCAATCAACTAAATTAAACTATAAAGTTCACAGTTATAACATCAATAAAACATTGATTATAATTGTTAATATGAAAATCCATTTACAGAGGAGAGAGTCAAAAAATATAATGAAGCTCAAGACTTAACAATGGCTACCACTATTATTCAAGCAAATCCTTTGATTTTTTTTCTCAAATATTTCCATAATGCTTCAATTATTAATAATTGTATAAAATTGGAAACCTTTTTCGTGAATGATTTTTGGCTTATTTATAATGAGTGGCGAAGGAGCAGATGAGATGGATATGTAAAAAAAAAAGAGAAATTCTTTCCATTAATTTGCATATAATTGAGGGCGATGATGTTTTATAATTTATACGGAGTAAATTTCAATCATATTTGTTTGATGATTTTGGAGAGAGAAAATCATAGGGAGTAATGAACTAATGAATTGATGAAAGAAGCATAGAAGAGAAAAAGTGAGTATGTTTATTTCATTTGGGACAAAGGAGACAGATGGGCACAAATCGTGTACGGAGGAGAGAGGATAGAGAAGTGTATATTATCAGGGATGAGAAAGAAGGGTATAAGACCATCTCTAATGGTGAGACTTGCAGGAAGTTTTTTTAGGAGAGAGTATTTTTTTGCAAAGGATACCAATAAGTTGATATCTAAACTTAGCAACTCCAATAAAAAGTTGCTAAGTTTAGATACTCCACTTTGAGTCTCATTTGACAAAAAGTGTGGGCCCTTTATCAATATTATAATAATTTGTAATTTATTTAAGTTTTTTTTTTTTTTTTTTGAAAAACTTATAATATGGATTTGGTGGGTCATAAATTGAAAGTGACATTAGTATACTTTAGATAGTCTCGCCATTGGAAAATTAGACTTCACATGAGTTGCTAATTTGAGAAGTGGGTTCGGTATCACAATTAAAGGCAAAAAACAACTCATTTTGTATTTCAATACTCAAAGTTGAGTCTCACCAATACAAAACTTACCCAAAAAGGAGATGTTCTAATTGTCATCTTACAATACTCAAAGGAGATGTTCTAATTGTCATCTTACAATACAAAACTTACCCAAAAAGAAAACGTGTCAACTAAACAAAAATTTCCAAAAAAGAATACATGTCAACTAAAAAAAAGAGCTAGTATGTAATTCCCAAATTACACTCACACAATGACTCCATTTAACTCCCATGGAATTATTGTGAAATGTGTTTATAATCTATTTGATACCCCAATATTAACCATGTTTATGAATTTTATGTTCCTATACTACCATGGTTCGAAAATGCGGTTTCGGTCGGGATCGCGGAAACGGTCGCAATAATTTGGTAACGGAATTGATGCGTTGATCACGGAACGTGTCGCGATTGTCACCCTAATTTATATTATGGTAGTTTTATAGGTTTTATAATAAATTCTCTCATTATTTTTGAAAATCTTATTTTTCAATATATATCCCCTTTTTATATCTTGTACAGTACTACAATAGTGTGGCGCACAAGTATATAATATACGTAGTAAACTTACTACATATAAATGTAATTAAAAAAAAGTATAAAAGAGTAAAGTAGTAATTAGAAAAGGAAGTCACGTGGGGGAGAAGGAAGAATAAAAGAGGGAAGAGGAAGAGTGATGGCTGATGGGGTCAGGTGAGAAGTAAAAACAATAAAAAGAGGTAAAATACAGTTGTCACTATTCATTCCACGACCCACTTTTTATTTAAAAGACAAAAGAGATGTGATAGTTTTCATCGACTTTCATGGAGAAACGGATCCCTCACCGGATTACTTATACTTTGGGTTCTTTTTCCTTAAATTCTCCGTCGGGAACGCTTGATGTGGCCGATTTTCAATTCATAACGGTCATAACAGCCGAAATTGCGGAGCATTAAATGCAGCGTGCTGAATCGGAAAAATCCGGTTCTGTAAAATTCAAATCCGTTACAAAACGGCCGGTACGTCACAATGCGGCCGCATTTTAAAATCCTGTATACTACATCTCAATACCATCTATAAGTACTCTCTTTTTTTATTTTTTAATTTGTCCTTTTGTTTTAAACATAGTTTTCAAAGCAATATTATACTTTAATATAAAAATACATCATTTTTAAAAATCATAAAAAATACAAGATTAAAAGCCAAAAACAAAAATTAATCTAACAAGATCACACATATTTATATTTTGAAATACTAAAAACTCAATTAAATATTACATTCCACTTGCATTGGAATCTCGAAGATACAAATGAACTAAAAAAAATTAAAAAAAATTAAAAAAAAAAAACAGAGGTCTTATTATGTTACTTTGACAACCATTTTTGGCTCGTACTCGAGTCAACCAGACGCGACAAGGATCCAGGATTCCGTACCGGATCCGCGGAGAGAAGGAAAACTAAAGACGCCAATTGGCTTACCAATGCTTACTTATTCATAGATGAATTATATCAGGGAGGAGCAATAATTTAGGATTTCAAAATTGGTACTTTTGTTAAATGTACAATACCGAACATAAAAATACATTTTTGGCGCCAATCAAGGAAGCCACGCTGGTCTTCTATTAGTCTCTGTTATGTTTTTTCCCCTTTTTTGAAACAATCTTCTCTCATATTAAGATTTCTTTCCTTTTTTTTTTTTTTTTTTTTGTTTGGGAAAACATGTACGTCAGCAAATGTTAGTTGACTTCTATTTCCTATTTTCCCATCCCCCATTCCCATCCCCGTAACCGTGAGGGTTAGGATAGGGTCCCCGTGTATTGAAATTTCAGTTTGTCGGGATCCACTCTGACACATGTACCCAAGTCTGAGTAACCCTGGTGGTGCCCATTTAAAAACAGAGGGTTATAGCCAAATAAGCTCTCACGTTATGATGCAAAATTTCACCCATGAAATTACAAAAAGCCAAGTTTAGCTAATCCTATAAAGATTCAACAACAAGAGAAAGAAAAGGTTCTTGAAATTTCATATTTTTTTTCTCCCTGTAGTTCCGTACTTAATCTGGCATTGACAAAGTAGTCAGAAATTAGAGGTCAGGAGCAATAATTGCATCATGTGTCACAACAATTCAACAAAAAAAATAAAAAAAAATTAATAAATAAATAAAAAGGAAGTTGGTCACCCATGGGGCCATGGCCACAAGAAAGAGAGAATTGAAGCTTAAACATTTCCTTTTGCAGAGACGTACCGGTGATAATATTTGCATAAGAACATGAGCAACAACCACATCGACAGGTTGCAAATCAGCCACAGCAGCACCAGGTTCTCCATGCTGTAAAAACCATAAAACTAGCTTAGTGAGTATTCAAAATAGACAAGATTTCGTATTGCCTTACTTTTTAGTAAATATTAAATATGTATGAGACAAAAAGAATGATAAACCAGCATATTGATAATATCAGCAATTCAGTACAAAATATTTTCAGCCAAAGGAACCTGCCAAGACATAAGCACATAACAGTAACAACTAATAAACCTAAGCTTTCTGCTGTATATTTCTTTAATAGGAATAGGCAACATCATTAATAGCCAAGTAAGTATTTCCCATAGAGATGTCAATAACTTACCCAACCCAAGAACAACCCAATAAAAACCGAAGTGGAAAAAGCATGTTTGGGCTATAGCTCAACAGCAAGAGAATTTATGGGGGAAATGGGTTAATTCTACCTGAGGACTCAAAATTGGTTGGATTATCAGCCTAGTAAAGATACAAGCTGGTATTGGAAGCAAATATGTGCAATCAAGGAGAAAAATGAAGACTGTAATGAACTGCCATAAAAGATCAGCAATATATATGAAGTTTTCAGGCCTCATCTCCCAAGGTGCAGCTGTATAAAAAGGCTCAAGGCACACCAAGGCGTTTCGAAGTACCTTGCACCTAAGGTGCACCTCAGTGCGCCTCCGTGCGCCTCATTGAAGTGAGGCGCATATAATAAGCAATACAAAAATTCTGATAAAAAAAACTCTTTGTGCGCCTCAGGCTGCGGCTAGGCGCGCCTCTGTGCGCCTCATTGAAGTCGCCTCGCCTAGACCATAAAAAGCGCGTGACCTCTAACGCCTTGCGCCACTGGTACTGCAGCTGGGACAATCTTGTTTGGGAGAAAGAGGCAGCTCATAAGCATATGTTTATAGCTTGGCTTGCTGTTCAGAGCAGACTCAAAACAAGGGTAGAGTACTTAAAATTTGGGGCTGATAATGATGGGAGTTGCCTATTATGTGAGGATAGTGAGGAAAACCATGAGCACTATTTTAAAAAAAGGAAAAATGGAAAACAATCATCCCACCCTTGCCTTGTCTTTCGAAAACAATCCCACTTTCATTTAATTTAGAAATAATCCGACCTTTGACCACCGTCTTCTTTTAACGGTCCTTTTAACCTACAACCTGTTTTACAGGTTACTTTTATTTTTTAAAAAATTTTGTTTGCTCTTTTTTCTTTAATCTCTCTCATCTCCAACCTCACTAACACCACCACCTCCACTATCGACACCTTAGAACACCTCCCCACCCTCTTCTTCCTATCATTGCCCACCATTCCCACCCCCAAAAAAACCCACACCTAGTCAACCACAACAACCCCACGCATCCAATCTGCATCACACACCAACTCATCTCCTCACTAATATTCGTCACCCCTTCGCTGTGACCACCACCAACAACAATGCTCCCTTGTGAAATCCACTACTCCTTCCTGGATGCATAAATACCAAGCAGCCCTAAGTTGCTGCTCTCTACTCATCCACTATCAAATTACTCAAAATTTTATTTATCATACAATTCATCCAAAATAAACTTTTTAGTTGTTGAGAAGATAATTTAGAATAATTGAAGGAAAAAGCTCCAAAAATATATACGGAGTATAGTTTTTTTTTTTCTTTTTTTTCATAATTGGGGTTAACTTGCTCGTGTTATGGGGGGTGTTTTGGGATTTTGGTGCTGTTGGTTTGTTGTTGGCATGAGACGAGATAGATTGATGGTGATTGTCAATTTGTGGGGCAGCGTTGGTATAGTGTTTCTTTGGAAGAGGATGGTAGCTGGGAAGCCATAGAAGGAGGCGGGGAAAGGGAATGCTGAGAGGGAAAAAGGAGTTTTTTTTTAAATAATTTTACCAATAAAAAAATCGACACGTGACATGTTACCCTCTCCAACAGGTTACCAACCCATCAAAACCGGTCATGTTCTGTTTATAGAAAATTGATGTCAAAGGTGGGATTTATTCAAAGCTGGGATTGTTTTGAGAAGACCAGACAAAGGTGGGATTATAATTTCAATTTCCCGAAAGTGTGAAAGCAGATGATGTGGTTTCAGAGCCAACTGAAGAGTCTGACAAGAGCTATCAGAGCTGCTAGAAGAATGAAATTGGGATTTCAGATATGTCTTTTCAAAGCTTGAGGAATGTAGCATCCTTGGATTTAAGAATTTTGTCCTTGTATATCAAACCTAAATTTTTTTGTATGATTTCGAAGAAATGAAGTAGGGAAAAAAGGAGGTGGTTGGAATAGATAAATGTTAAGCTTTTTGCTGTTTTAGGCTTTTGCCAGGGAAAGAAACACGAAAGACTCAAATAAACTAGATCTCGCCTTCAATCTGCATGGACACACTATACCTTGCATAACTATTTCATAGTAGACCCAACCCGAGATCGGCCCACAGACCCGATTTGACAGCTCTACTTTTCAAATAAGAATATCAAAGAAGTAAGGTGCACACCATAATTAAGCCAAAACAAAGCACACATAGCCACATAACAGCAGCACTACACAATTACAAGTATTGGCTTACTATTCCTAGACCAAGCTCCATTTTTCCTGGGCCCAAACGGTCTGATGTGACTTGGCCAGGAAGGGTGCACACAGATAATGCAACACCCATAGTTCCAACCATTTCAGATGCTCTTCTAGCTTCAGCTGTAACTTCAGTTAGGGAGCAACCATCAGCAGCTGCCGCTCCAGCAACCTACACCAGGTAGGTATCAAAACAAATAAAATAAAATAAAAGTTAATGAAAGGCCCATTACAAAGCACTTTTTAAATAAGTACAGCAAGATAAACCACCCATGGAATAAAAACTCAGTCATTCTGCCATATAACAACCATTCTGCAGCAAAGTATGGATTTGCCGTTCAGCGAAACCCGGCTATATATAACGCCGTGGCAAAAATACATAAATTTTGGGTTTTCCAATCAGCGAAACCTGGCTATATGACGCCACGACAGAAACCACACCTTTCTCTCCGTGTTATCCATTATGTAATGGTGACTCGTCGTGCATTAGAACGTTTTTTTAATCCGTTACATCCATTCCTTTGTTTAAATTGACAAAAAAGCATTTTAGTAATTATTTATATAGTCTTTACATAATATTTTGTAATTTTTTGTTTGCCAAATATGTTACACTTTTATATTGATAAATAAGGTTATAATATGTTCAAAGAATGCTTTGTAAACTTATATATGTAAAAACATAACTTAACCCAATGCTGTGAATTTTTTGAAAAGATTCACACCGCGTTTGCCGCGGTCCGTTTTATTATTTCTTCACAAGCCATTTGATCAAAAATGCATCCATTCTGCAAACACCTAATCACGTAAAGATATCAAAGAAGACATCCAATCTCAAGTATCTTATCATTCCTTTCTAAACACAGCACCTTTAAAATAGCAAAACATGCACATTGCCACATAGTTTGTGTACTTCACACCTTTTCCAAGTCCTCAATACTTCTCTTGACAAAGATAAAAAGAAAGAGGGAAAAGCCAACTAATTCTACCTTATAAAAAGCATCATCCAAAGTAAAAATAAATAATTTCACAATCTTTCTTTAATGCAATAAATGGCCAACAATCCTGCAAATTCTCACACATAAAATTCTCCAAACTAACAACCTAAGCAGAAACTTTGACTGGCTTCTAAATCTTAGCCTTCAATAAAGTTGGAGACAGGACAAGGCTGCAAATCAGGACAATATGTGTGTGGCTACAGAAAGAACGACAGTACTGGAATCAGAAGCCTGCCAAATTTTCTAAATTTAACATAGAATTTGCTAATTACAAGGCTGAAAAACAAACAATCTCTCCCTGGTAGAGGGGGTCCTTCTCCCAGGGCTAGTTGGGCCCAGCCCCCTGCAAATGATTTTGATCTACTAGTTATTAAATTTAAATAACCCTATTTTACTTATAAAATGTTGCTGCATAATTATTAATTTTGACCAAGTGTTAAGAGATTCAACTCTCATCCCCTCTTATTTTAGGCCAAGACCCAACACTGCTCCCTGGTCTAGTTACTCCTAAGTCTTGCTATTTTCAGGTGTGCCACTCTGGCAATATCTTGACTATTGGATCATACATTTCCTATCCCTGTTACATCCAGTCTATGCGACATAATTACTCTATGTTCAAAAATTCCTACACATCATTGCATATAAGTTCCATTCTTGTCAGATTCAATGCTGCATTCATGTTTAAGGTCAATTTGACGGTTATACAGCATTATGTTCTTATAATTTCAAAAGTTCTCAGAGATAAATAGAGATACAAAACAATTTCACTTAGCTCTAGCCAGAAGGGAAATTTTCAAAACATTTTATCTTACGTCAATCCATTACCCATCACTCCATAAGTACAAATGTGTAAGTCTCATGACTACCATCTTACATAAACCTGTTTGCCTAAAAAACAAGACACTTGGTGTAGACTACACCAAAACCAAATGCAGTGCACTTCATTCTCATTTTTGTCCATGAAAGGGAATAGCTACTATGAGCCTTATAAAAGTGGTAAAGAAGGTACTACTAGAGAATACAACAGAACCCTTATGGGTGTAAAAGAGACTCCCAACAAGTGCACAATCAGGAGAAACTCAGAAACAACCTTATGGACGAAAATAGTTCCCGCCAAACCTCGACGTCCAGCTATCCCTCTAGGAGGTAAAGCACAATCATCTCCTACAATGACCATCTACAAAGAAAAAGTATAATCCATCAGATAATTCTTGTTAAAATAATACATAGACAAGAAAAATTAGTCATATACCTCGACTTTGTAACCTTCAGATTTTGCTTGTTCAGCTGCCAAACCAAAATTAAGGCGATCCCCTGTGTAATTCTGTTATAAGAATATATTGTTAGATACTCACAATCAGACCTTTAAGGTGAAGATGTGTCCATCTAAGAGACAACCATATAACGGAGTGAATGAGGAAACATTAAATGTGGTGCTCATATGTTATGGACTGGGTCAACACCGCAAGTCAACCACCAATGTTGGTGTATACGAGGCGCACAAAGAGAGGGCAACAAGGGTCCTGTAATAGACTGAAATTACTCGATGTAATAACAGTACAACGAAAGAGAAAACTCAGAAATTTGATCAAACAAATTAATGGTTTTACAACGATAGTAGTAGGTTTAGCCTACAAAGCTCCAATAGTGACTTTAGGTCACAACTCTCCTAAGAAACTACTCCAAAATTCTGCCTACCTTCTTCTTCCTACCCTCCCACTATTTATACTAAAGCTACTGAGTACTGACCAAAACCTAATAATAATACTAGACTTCCCAAATTACCCCTCCCAAAGCCCATCTATTACAATACCGGCCCCGTAAACTTCCACCTTGTCCTCAAGGTGGATAATAGTCTTCACTCGAAATCCGGCCATGGCAACAATGATCACTATTCTAGCTCTTGAATGGGCTATAACTGAGAGCGAATTGCAGTGAGAAAGGCTGCACATTGGCGAGTATTAGTGCTCTCTTCATTAGCATTGACATGGCAGAATAGCTTAGCAACTTGTCATTGGGGACAATTAGCTTTTGGGCGGTGTGTGTGGTGTCTGCGTTGAGATTAGAGGGGTGCAAGTAGGAGAAAAAAGAACAATTTTGTTTGAAAACTTTGATTTGGCTAGCAGACATATCATGGTTGTGGGGTGGTTGTGATAGGTTAGGCCTAAAGTGAGTAAGCCCACTGACTTTAAAATGGGTTAGCCCAAAACTTTGTGCAGCTACTACATTAGGCATAACTGGATTGCCATCCAGGTCATGTCTTACCCCTTTGACCATAATACCCTTACTATTACTTACCCCTTTACTTTCTAGAAATTCCTTGTCCTCCAAGCCAAACTCAGTTTCCACAAAGTTTCCCAGACACTCCATTTCTGAAATCTGCAACTGCCATTTCTGAAATCTGCAGTAGCAACCCAGACCACCACGAGACTTTTCACCGGCATAGATGGGTGAAGCGGTACATATGCAATGGATCAGCACAACACAACTCCACCGATTCAAGTTACTCAAGGAGGCGCAAAAATGCAGGGGCAGGACAGCAGTAACAGCAATTTGGGAAGCAACAAAAAAGACAGCAGCAAAAGAGGACAAAACTAATTATTATTCCACTATGAAGAGTGGCAAGGGAATGTGATTGTGTAGAGCCACTCTGGCAGAATAGTACAGCTTGTTTTAATTGCTAGGTTACATGAGGGAAAGGGGAATGCTTAGTATTTAAGGGGAAGGAGAGAATGAAAAAGATTCATGTGAGTTTGATGTTAATCTAGTGTAGTTGTAGTAGTAGTGTAGCCTCCAAGTCTCCACCTTTAGTGGAATAGCGTTAGCAGTAGCTTTGTAGCCGTTATCATAAACTTCAATCAAAAAATCTTCAAGCTTCCTCTGTTTTCTGGTGTGTTAGTGTGTTACTGTTCAATTAATCCTTTCCGAGTCTATAGCAAGTGATATCATAGCAGTTCCGATCATGGTGAGCAGGAAGCAGTGGAGACTCAACTCGCAACCATTGAAGGGAAATGCGATTTGCAGGAAGCTCACCTTAAGAGCATTGCTGACAAGCTCGGAACCCAAGAGACCACCATAGAGAGAGCGGTGCAAGCAGCAGTGGCTGGAATATTGGAGGCAGAGAGGAAGCGGACGGAGGAAGCCTTAACCAAAACCACCACGCGTCTGGAAGAAAGGCTCGACCACTTCCGGATCGATCACGATAGGTTGGCGGCGATTGAGAGGGAGAATAATCAGAAATTTCGGGAAGAGATGAAGAGGACCGCCGCTGGAAGTTAGGGACTCAGACCACCTCTACAACCACAGCCTATCATCCAACCCATTAACCTTGATGCTGAAGGAAGCCATAACCAAGGCCATGGAGAGAATGAAGTGCGCTCTCCGTTGAGGAGAGGCTGCAGAGGAGGCGGCCATGGCGAGGAGCAATTCGAGTTCCGTCACTGGCCGGGCGGCGGTGGTGGCGACGGCGACGTCGATAACAGAGGCCATTGGAAACACCGTAAGCTTGACATGTTGATTTTCGAGGGAACTGATCCCGACAACTGGATATTGAGGGCTGAAATGTTCTTTGATTTTTACCAGTTGCAAGAGAGAGAGAAGCTCGAAGCTACGGTGGTAGCTATGGATGGAGCCGCCCTTAAATGGTATCATTGGGAGAAGAAGCGGCGACCAGTTACGGGGTGGTTGGATCTCAAGCAAAGGTTGTGCGAATTTTGACCCTCTCACTCCGGGTCGCTGTACGAACAATGGTTGGCTGTGCAACAGGTATCGGTGGTGGAGTATAGAAGGAGGTATATTGAGTTGGCTGCTCCATTGGAATGGATTCCAGAAAGTATTATGCTAGCCCAGTTTATAAATGGGTTGAAAGAGGATGTTAAAACGGAGCTCCGAATGCTAAACCCGTTTAATTTGGAGGGGGCTATGGAATTCGCGGGTCGGATAGAGGATAAGAATCGGGTTAGTCAAGGCAAGAAGGTGGGTCAAGAGAGTTACAAGTATGGGGCAGCAAGATTTCTATTCATTCCTCTGCCGAGTAATACTTCTATGATTCAAAAGGGGAACGGTCTGGGCTTGTTCAAACGTATGGTACTCCTAGTCACACTGGATCTGGAATTAGACCAGAGTAGTCTCAAGCCTTAGTGAACATGGTGAATTCACTTGGAAGTTGGAAACTCGCAAGGCAAGAGTGCCACCTTCACACGGCGCCTTACCAAGGCGGAGCTATAGGAGAGGAGAGCCAAAAACCTTTGCTTCCGATGTGATGAGAAGTGGGGGTGGGCCATAGGTGCAAAAGGAAGGAATTGAGTGTTCTTGTAGTGGCGGACGGGGAGGAGTCGGCCGAAATAGAAGAAAACGCAAGGGGTGAGGTGGAGGTCGAGGCGTCACTGTGCTTAATTACCGGAATTTCTAATCCAAAAACTATGAGATTGAAAGGGGAGTTAAGAGGAAACCCGGTGGCGGTAATGATTGATTCCGGGGCCACACACAATTTTATTGCGGCTCCACTAGTGGCGAAGCTGGCGATGCCGGAGTCAAAAGGAGGTGACTTTTCTGTGGTGTTGGGAACTGGGGATATGGTGAAGGGGAAAGGGAGATGCAGGGGAGTTGAGTTGAATTTAAATGGTGCAATTTCAATCAAAGAGGATTTCTACCTCTAAAATTGGGAAATGCAGATTTAATACTGGGTGTGCAATGGTTAGAGAAATTGGGGTCCGTATCGACGAACTGGAAGACTCACATAATGAAGTTTCGGTGGAAAGGCATGTAGGTGACTCTCAAAGGCGATCCATCGCCGGAGACAACTCAGATTTCTCTAAGGGCTATGGTTCACACCTTATGCAAGAAGGAGCTGGGCGCCCTGGGGACAAAAAATTTGGAGGAAGGGAAAGGCACCGGAGTTCGAGGCAATGTGGGAGGACCTTGAGTTTATTAACCATGCGATTCCATCCTTCCACCTTGAGGACAAGGTGGATATTCCGGGGGGAGTAATGCAATGGATCAGCACAACACAACTCCACCGCAGGGCAGGACAGCAGTAACAGCAATTTGGGAAGCAACAAAAAAGACCGGCAAAAGAGGACAAAACTAATTATTATTCCACTATGAAGAGTGGCAAGGGAATGTAATTGTGTAGAGCCAGTCTGGCAGAATAGTACAACTTGTTTTAATTGCTAGGTTACATGAGGGAAAGGGGAATGCTTAGTATTTAAGGGGAAGGAATGAATGAAAAAGATTCATGTGAGTTTTGATGTTAATCTAGTGTAGTTGTAGTAGTAGTGTAGCCTCCAAGTCTCCACCTTTAGTGTAATAGCATTAGCAGTAGCTTTGTAGCCGTTATCATCAACTTCAATCAGAAAATCTTCAAGCTGGTGTGTTACTGTTCAATTAATCCTTTAAGCCCCGAGTCTATAGCAACATACCCCTGGTCCACCGCCAGACTTGTTCCTGATCCACCCTTCGCAAAGCCACCGCCCTTTCCGTTCAGGCCACCACTAGCGGCGGTCTTACCACCCCTCTCAACTCTCCCTGGCTAAAACTCCTGGACCACCGTCAGATCCACAGCAACCAGCACCGCCCTTCTCAAAAAATTCTTCCTAAACAACCACCACAAAAAATACCCGCCCTGTTCCCTCTTACAATATCGAGAGCACCCCCAATTTCACGAGTTCCACCACCAAAATCGCCACCTGAGCCACCTTCAAAAACACTCCCCCCACCACCAAGACCACTAACACCGATTAATCCACCTGTCAACCTGCCAGCACGTCCACCAGATTTGCCGGCGAAGCCGCCTCGACCCCCACCAGTAAATCCCGCTCCATAATCCCCAAGCCTTCCACCAAATTTAAACTTTCTTGTGACACCTACAACTCCGCAATCTAACTCGCCGTCAAGTATTTTGGAGCCATCTTGTTTTCTGGCCGTCACAAATCTGCCCTCTTCTCGGCCGCTAAGATGAGTGGGTCGTCCTCGGCGTCTTCCTCACTCTTCTTCTCAACTTCTAATGTGACGGAGCAATTCTCTACCTTCTGGGCTGCTGCGACCCCTTGAGTTGCGGGATGGTAGGCTCCTCTAGGGATCTCGATATGCCTTCCCTGTTCCGCTGCTTACGCAAGCCTTTGAAAGCCTCTTCAAAATTCTTCTTGATAGCCTCCGTTGTCTGGGCGATCGCTTCCTCCACAATCCTTTTAATTGACTCCTCAAAGTCTGTCATTTTTTTTTTAATTCGTAGTGGTGGTTTCCGGCACCAGACAGCCAGGAACACCGCTCTGATACCAACTGTAATAAACTGAAATTACTCTATGTAATAAAAGTACAACGAAAGAGAAAACTCAGAAATTTGATTAAACAAATTAATGGTTTTACAACGATAGTAGTAGGTTTAGCCTACAAAGCTCCAATAGTGGCTTTAGGTCACAACTCTCCTAAGAAACTACTTCAAAATTCTGCCTACCTTCTTCTTTCTACCCTCCCTCTATTTATACTAAAGCTACTGAGTACTGTCCAAAACCTAATAATAATACTAGACTTCCCAAATTACCCCTCCCAAAGCCCATCTATTACAGGTCCAAGGAGTTGGGGCAGCCAAGGTCAGAGGAGGCAGGAAACAAGGAGCAACAAGACAAAGGCCATTAAAGGGAAATTAAGGAAAGAAAGCAGCTTCCTTTAATCATGGTCATTGTGGGTTTCTATTTTAGTTAATTAGTGTCACGTGTATTATCTAAGTCTTGAGTATAAGTATTGTAGTTTAGCAGCAATAGATCCAGAAATTGAGTGAAATTCCTTGTGAGATTTGTGGCCTAAAGTCACTGAGAGACTCATAGCCTAAAGTTATGCTTATCCTCGTTAGTTTGTAATTCAGTTTGCTAATTAATCAAAATACTCAAGCTTACCACTTAATTGTGTTGATTTAATATTAATTACATTGCAAGAATTTGGTACATAACATCATACTATTCGGCAACTAAATCAATGCAGGTTAGCAATATGTTACTTATCCACTCAACCTCAAGATCCTCCACCATTCTCAGTTTTTCTTTCTTCTTCTTCTCCATAATAAACTATTTTACAGCCAAAACAAAAACATTGAGCCCTCTCGTTATTGTCAGATCAGCAGTCAGTTTCTGGCAGACCTAGCAAGCGTCATTACTACAACAAGGTAGGGAATAATCAAAGTTAGAAATCTTGCTTAACTTGTTGTGATACAATGTTCAAGATGCAAGCAACTCTTCCAATAATTTTTTTTTCCAGAATGAGAAAATTTATACCACTTAGACGTCGCAGAGATAGAGGTCTAGTACTCTACCATAATATATAACAATCAATTACAGGCATACAGCATTGACCTTTTCTACATACATTAGCATTAGAGGTGGGAATCGTGCCAGGCTATGCCTGCTCGGGATAGGATGGGACGGCCGTGCCCGGCCTGGGTGGTAGAGGGACGGGCTGGCAGGGCCATCAAATTGCACACCCCAGCCCACAGCATGGCGGGCCAGCCCTTCAATTTTTTAAAAAAAATCGATATGTTGGTTAAATAACTTTATTATTTGTATTGTTTTTATATTTAGTATTTAAAGTTCATTATATTATTATGGTTATTTTTATTATTTATGTTCTTTTTATCATTAATCCCTCCATGTTTTAATAAGTGTTACTCTCTGACCGGCACATAGTTTTTAGATAATTTAATTGGCTTAAATAAAATAAGAGGTCCCGTCAAAAAATAAATAAATAAGAGGTACATTGGGTATTTGGAGTATTAAAAAATTGAAAAAGAAATATAGTAGGGTTTATAATTTATTGAAAAGTAATGAATGTGAGGAAAAAAATTTAAAAAAAAAATAGTAGTGAGTTTGGGTGGAGACCATGAGATAAAAGAGAAGGAATATTATTATGTAATTTTTTATGAAAAAAAAAGTGTAATACTTATTAACAACACGACCGCATTTGGTTTATGTGCACAAGCTGCTAACATAATGTCTAACATAATGTCTAAGTTTTCAAGTAGTGAATCATCGTCTAGGAAAACACAAAGCAATGTTTTGGAGTTGCAACTGTACTTAAGTTACGACTTCATGAAAGGCATGGACGAAGAAGAGAAACACGGCCTCGACATCCTCAATTGGTGGAAAGCACAAAGCACGAAACATCCAATTTTGGTTGTAATGGCACATGATAATTTCGCTATCCAAGCCTCCTCTTTTACCTCCAAAAAGATTTTACTGTGTCAAAGGGTTTTAGACAATTGAAGAACAAGTTTAAATCCCGAAAAACTTGAAATGTATGCGTTCAAGGATTGGTTGGTTGCCAAAAATCGCTTGCAAGATCGTACTTATGCACAATAAGACGACACTGATGATAGAACGTGAAGAAGAAGAAGAACGTACCCAATATAATAAAATAAGTTATTTATTAATTATTGTACGAATTTTATCATTATTCTTCCATTAGATTGGAATGATGATATATTTAAGCGTTACTCTAGGGTTTGGAATTCAGTTTAATTAAACAATCTTTTAAGTAATAATAATATGAAATATGTATTCCATATTTTTAATTACTATACTATACTTAGATCCTTGTAAGTAGTACTCGTAAATGTTTCAAATCTATGCATGGCCCGCCACTACCCAGCCAGGCACAGCCCGCCCATCCTCTGCGGCGGCACAGCCCGGCACGATTTCCAGCTCTAGGTTGAGCCCTATAAATCTGTCTTATGTTTTACCTTATACACTTGCACATAAAGAACTTACAGTTTATAATTTCTATCATTCCTGCCCAATTAAACCTGCTACATACAGGATAGAGAGCTGATACCAGTCAATCAGTCGTACTACAATACTCTTCCCCCTTTAAAATACCACAGGTCACATTCTAAAATTGTAAGAGAGAATGGGCAAATAACATAAAAGCCCACTCCAAATATCTAGTAACAGTAAGTATACTGTGAGTAGTGCTATGCAGCGCCTCCGTGCGCCTCTTTGAAGTGAGGTGCACTATAAAAACAGTTAAAAATTTTGGCAGAAAATTGCTTCAGGTGGGCCTCATGTGCACCTCAGGTGCACCTCGGGCGCGTTTGGTGCGCCTTATTAAAAACACCTAGCCCAGGCCAAAAAAAAGTGCTTACCCCCTATTGCCTTGCGCCTCAGCGCCTTATGCGCGCTGTTTCAAACACTGCAAGAGAGACGGTATCATACTCTTGATCATGCATGAACCAAGTTCATGGGAAATGAAAGAGATTCAGTCAGCCAACCCCACCCCAACACACATGCACGCAAAAGTGGGGTAGAAGAAAGTCAAGAGTCTCAAGACAAAGAAATAGCATAATGGACCTGATTTTAGAAAAAGTTTCAAATGACAATATAATTAATGGTAATTCAAATAATTGTTCAAAATATAATCATCAGTGATACCAAATGAACAATTGAATTCCCAGCAGCCTGCTTATGATGTCAGGTGACACCTTAGTAAGTGCCCACTTGAACGGGCCAAATCTTCAGTAACGCCCCTACCCACCAGCTTTCTATTCAAGGGAAGTGGATGAATGGGATATTATCAATCTCACATTCAAAATCAAAATCTTAGGCTACCTATACGTCCCACGATAATAATTCAGCAAGCTGGAATAATGACAAGAAGTTTAAATACCTTGACAATTAGAAGGCATCCCTTGGGCCCAGTTACAGCTCGTATGCCCTGCAGAAAATTAAGGTATTCAACATGGTGGATATTGAGAAATAAGTAACAAACTTCTATAAATCTATATTTCTCTATGATTGCAGAAGAGAGAAAATATTTAGCTGGTGAACTACAAAACAGAAGTGAACGAAGGTTATACTGCCAGAATTGAATCCACTGGAGGAGAGGCAAAAATATCCCCACATATAGCAGCAGTAAGCATTCCTTGACCCACAAATCCAGCATGAGCAGGCTCATGACCGCTGCCACCTCCTAAAGGAAAAATACATTTTAAAATTAATAGGAAAAAACACCCCCCACAAGACTATAAGATAATAAGTTGTGCAACAAGACCAAAGTTTTTTGTTTAAAAAAAAATAAAAAAATAAAAAAGAATTGCATCTATATCAATATAATAAATAAATAAATAAACTTCATATCAGCCAAACCAATTCCCTGCCAGTAAGATGCCAGATGAGATAAGATTTACTCAGGCAGTTTGAAGAGGTATTCAATAGACTTTGAAGCCTTGTTCCTCAACCTGGTAAGAAGCACGCAATTGAAGGAAGTGTCCTTAATCAAGTATAATAGGATTAATTAAGAAATAATAATTTGTTTATTTAGGGGTCGTAGTGTTTTGCTAGAAACCAACAACAGCATGTAAGTTTATTGTAAATGGGCTTAGTCCTAACTATAGCCGGATCCTAAAAGGTCACACATATAAACATGGGTTGGATCAAAATCACGCTAAGCCTAATAGGGCTAAGTGGCAGGCAAAAGATTAGGGATTGACTTCCTATAACCTAATTTACGTAAAATATAAGGATTGGTTTTATGTATATGATAATGTTACATAACATTTGAGTAAGCACGACAACCCTAATACTACTACTATACACGAACACGGCCACCCATACAAAGAAAGAAAATGACAATTTTCTTCCTCCTTCCGTACTAGCCTACGTGGGGATCTATCTTGTGTTTGTGGACTAAGTAGAGGAATCACAATTGAGGTTCTTGATTTCCGAAGGAGGGTTATGCTAGGAATTAGAATCAAATCAGACAATCAAAGGCAAATAATAGAGAATCGGTTAACCAAGATAGATTGTATTGATGATCAGTGAAATCCTCAATACTACTCCCTTCTTTTGAGAGGAGAAGATTCTCTCCCAAAGCTACTGCTCTCAACTTTTCTGAATGATGCTACTCCCTTTCCATCTCCTCTATTTCATACATTATTCCCCTGTAACAAACTATCAGTTTAGAATACCAAACTCCTCTCAGAGTACTTAATTGCCTTTTTCTTAACAAACTTCAGTAACAGAATTATTCCACATCAGCTAGCAAGTTACTGCTACAGGTTTGGCCTTCCTTCGAGCATAAGTGATGTGAATATCAAGCTTGTTGCAGGTTATCAAAGGCTAGAAGTGATTACATGCAGCAAAGGTATATCTAACTCCTATTATGTGATTTGTATTAATAATATCCATGAGATACTTTTTAGATGTTTAGAAAGCGATCCTCAAATTCTGCTATCGCAGCTATTAAGCTCCTACAAAAATCACTCTTAACTCTTAAGACAAGTGACAATCCAATGACCGTACCGCTACATCACCACCATTATTCCAGAAGGATGAAATTGAAAGTCTTACAAAATTGATGATGACTGTTGGGATAATACAACCTTTTACTACCCCCTTCTACTGTTACGTGAAAAAAAAAAAAATGGGCTAATGCAGTTTTGTGTGGACTACAATGCTTTGCACAAAGAGAAAAATAAGATAAGGTTGAAAAATGCTAGGGCAACTTTTTAGTTTTTGCAATGTGTTCAAGCCTTATCTCAGGAGTTTTGTGCTCGTATATAAGTATATATTGACGACATCTTAAAGCCATGAAAACTAGACCGCAGTCAGGCCAGTCACTATCTAAGAAAGAATGGCAGAGATTTATAGGCATAACAGGTTACTATCAGAAGGTTGTGCCCAATTATACACGAATTGCTCTTTCATTGACTGAGCATTTGAAAAGGGCCTGATTTGGTTGGAGCACTGCAGCCACAAAGTCAATCGAATCTCTCAAACATGCCATGGTGTAGGCACCTGCTATTGCCAAACCTAATTATGTGTTGGAAATGAATGCTTCAAATTAAAGAGAATAAATTCAAGGAATAAAGAACATGAGTCAGAAAACATAAGTAGAGAAATCTTTTATTACTTCATTCATTTCCTTCTTCCAAGAGACTGTACACCACAATTTGATTTGCTTGCATCTTCTAAAAATTTGTACAGTAACTACAGTCAACTACTTTTTTAGAGAAACTTCTAACATTTAACTACCTTGTTTTCAACCACTTTATCACCATGCAACTAATTACCAATGTACTCCATAATTTAGGCAAGAAAAAGCACCCTCTTGGGGAAGCCTACATGGCTCATCCCTGGCCATTTAGCAAAAAAGGCCTCTTAGGAGTAGGTGAAGGGTAAGGAATTCCCTACCTATTAAGTGCCCTTATTGGGGTTTGATCCCATAACCAAGTAGCCACTAGATTAGGTTCTACTTCCTTCGCGACTTCTGTCTAAAAGTTCTTTTTATCTCCTTTTTGGCATATATTTCGATGAACATTTATAAGTGTTAAAATATCCAAATACATGTTAGTAAAAATTAAAAAAGTTTGATATGCTAATAGGTCACACTTTGAAAAGAATTAAAAAAAATTCTATTTAAGTGTCAATAATAACAGCAAAAAGACATGGAGAGAGTACTTGGTAAATTAAATTATATATTTGTCCTTACCTAAACAAAACTTGAAAACATTTTGATTTTTTATTTTTCCATGAGATGAATCAAATGCACAACGACCGGATCAAACTGAATAGGTTTGGGTGAGGAAACTCAACTTCAACATAAATAAAAGCAAAGACCGACTCTAATTTATTTGCTCTCATCTTCTCCGTATCAAAATAAGCATGGCGGAGAGTATGACCAAGAATTTCACGGTGTTATATTGCTCCCCTCCACCCCCACTTCCCCCATTTTATTAATAAAATGAAGCTTAAATTGACTTATTATTTGAGAAATTGGGATCACTACATAAAATTTTAGCAAACAAACATCATTCGCACCTGATATAACAGACACATAATTGTAAGTTGAGCTTGACACATCAGCGCGCAAAACAACCTTTACCTATACAAACATAATAACAAAATGATATTATGATAAAAAAGCCGAAAACCAGGGAAAAGTAATTGAATAAAGGATTAATTTGAATAAAGACCTCTGGAAAACCATCCAAATACTGCAATCCAGGGTAAGTTTCCACCAGTCCCTCGATGAATTCTGTCACCACAGCTGTGAGAAAAAAAAAATGTCAGCACTGTTTCAGTAAGAACCTACTCAACTCTTTCATAGAAGATGAATAGTAAAACCATGCCAAATCCTTAGTGAAGAGGGGTGTAATTAACACAATGTGACAGCTAATAATGGATAGAGGAGATTAGTATTAATTCTTCAATGTACCATGGGACTCCTTAGTAACCGCTAAATTTTAAACCAACGTGATTGACGTAAGCCATCCCAAACAAATTGCATGAAACACAAGCCCGACATTAGAGGACTAACGGATTTGGAAGCACTTAGGGCCTGTTCTCATTGACTGAACTCAGCTCAACTGAACTGAAATGAATATTTATAAGAGAAGGAAATTAGGAGCTAAATTGAACTGAATTTCAACGTATGAGAACAGGTCCTTACATTGCCAATCACCATAATATCCTAATAACGAAACGACAACTCGACAAAACACAGCCCCAACAAGGCACGGGTTATTAAATTACAAAGTATGACATTCATTAATAGATATAAAGCATAACCATGTATCGAATAGGAATCAAAATCATATCCTAATAACGATATGACAAAGCACAGCCCCAACAAGGCACGGGTTATTTTAACTACAAAGTATGACATTCATTCAGAATAGGTAAACAACAAAACCATGTTTCGAATAGGAGTCGAAATACGCCCATTTGACATTGCCAGCACTTTCAAAAGAGGAAGCTCCGTACTCGATTATTTGACTATTATATAAATCAAAGTGCTAGTCTAACAGAATTATAAACAAGCCATTTAAAAATAATTTAAACAAAAAAAATTGATGTCAAAATAACAACTATCATCAAAAATAAGGCTTCTGTAACTTTTAAACATATTAGCAGCTAATTGAACACAAAGTAACATGCAAACACTAATATATCTGGTTTGTTCATAATGTATTAACATTGTTGAAGTTTCACGATTCGCGAATTAATTGTAAGAATATAAAAAAATAGAATGAATTAAAATGTATATGATTAATTCGAGAAAATTGAATGGTTGCGAAAAACTGACCATTGGGATCATTTATGAGTTTCTTGCCTTGAAACGACATGATAATGGCAAGTGAAGTTGATAAATTTCTAGCAATCAGAGAAGGAAGAAATCAGTACGAGAAAATTTGGGAGAAATTGTTGAGAAAATTTGGGAGAAATAGTTGAAAAAAATAAAAGAAATTTTGGCGAAACCTAGTTTCTGACTTTTGGTGGGAGAAACGGGAGAGAGAGATTTAATTCAAGTATTCAACCTCAATAATTTTGTTTTTTTTATAACTTTATGGAAATTTTGTCAAAAAGCATCCGCCAAATATTGTATTTTGTCATACCCAAAAAAATGTTGTGTAAGACCACTCAAATACAAAATTTTGTTGTGTTAGACCACCTGGCCCAACTTTCCGGTGTTGACTCCGGCCATGTGACAAGCACGTGACCCCCCCTCCCCCTTTCTTATTTTATCCTCGAATTTTCTGGCTATCAATGGCCACCACCGCCCACACCCCACACCACCAGCCCCCCACCCCATAACCACCTACTCAGCCAACCGCGCCAACCTACCCACCACGACTCCCACTAGCCCTTTCCTCACTATCACACACAACTACACAACCATAGTCCAACACAATGACCCCAACCACCAGTCCACCACTCCCACCAGCCCTTTCCCCACTGTCACACACAACCACACACCACCACCGACACCACCACACAGCAACACCATTAACGCCTAAAACCAAAATTAACCCATTACAACGAAGAGTAGCCCAAAAAAAATTGAAAATCAACCCCAAAATATCGAAAATCAACCCCAAAAAAATCGAAAATTAATCCAAGAAACGAATAAGCCCATAGATATGTAAATTAACACAACAAAATAAAAAAAAAATACCACACAAAAAAATCAAAACAATTAGATCTACATATTTAATCGCGACGGTGCTTGTTGGCTTTGTTGTTGTTGGTGTTGCACCGTTGTTATTGCTGCGGTTGATGTGTGGTGGTGGTTGGTTCACGTTGGTGGATGTGTTGTTGCAGCATTGTTGTTGTTGATGGTCGTTGATGTTGGTGGTGGACTGAGAGAAAAGAGGTGGGACAAAGAAAAGCTACAAGATTGAGAAAGATGAGGGAGGACAAGACCAATAGAGAAGAAGACTAGTACTTCGTTGAGAAGAAGATGAAAGAGAAGATAGAGGAGAGAGAAAGGGAAGCTAGAAAATTCTGGAAAAAAAAAGGGGGGGGGGGAATGTCACGTGCCCTGAGTCAACGCCGGAGTTTGAGGTCAAGGCCGGAAAGTTGAGTCAGGTGGTCTTACACAACAAAATTTTGAAATTGGATGGTCTTAGACAACATTTTATATATATATATATATACATACATACATATATAAAGGGGAGTTTTTTTCCCAAGTTTTTAGAGAGTCACGTAGGATTTAATTTTCTTAGCGCGCCATGTAGGATTATAAATTTTTGTTGTAGGCAATTAAATAAGATATTATTAATTTGTTTTAGAATTAAATAATTAAAATTCCACGTACGCAAAATTGGCGAATGAAATTTTAAAGTTTAAATAAATTAAATATTACATATTATCTTTTAATATTAAGAATTTTATCTAAATATGTAACAAATTTTAGCATATTAATACAAAAAAAAAAATTATTTTAAAAAAATCAAACAAATCGTGTATTGCATGGGCTTCTACAATTGTGGTGTAAAAGTATACCATGGAATGATATATACTTGTAAACATTTGCTTTGGTTCTCGTGTAACATAAATCAACCAGATCATGCCATGTGGCCTGGTTATCATGTATCTTTTATATTTTTTTTCAATTGCATTTTAAGAAAAAATTATGAAGTAAATAATCATGAAAAAATTACCATTGTTCATAATTTTTCAAGACCTACAAATAGACACCCATATTGATATAGTTTTATATATTTTTTCTAATTCTCTTGTTACTACATAAATTGCTTATTTTATTTAATTAACTTTAGAAACATTAATTAGTTATTTCCAATAAGGGGTGATTTTTGGAGAAAGTATATTATATTGTGGTATAAATGATGTGGATGAGTGAGAAAGTGGTAGAGAGAGAGGGATGGTATAAATTTTTATAACATGAGTGTTGATGGTCTAATAAGACTTGAACTCAAGATCAACAAGTCTTAAGTTAAGAGTCTTGCCATTTAAGCCATTTATTAATTGTGTTTTTTTATCCAACAAAATTATAGTTAACTTTAATAAGTTAATTTGTGTCCTATCTTATACTATTTGTTTCCATTATGTAATGATTGAGTTTGACAACTAAAAAATGTTTATAGCAAGATTTAAACTCGAAACCAACAAGTTTTATTATCTAAACAGTCGAATTTGATTAGCAAATTAAACAAGTACAAACTAGTAACCCGGGGCATCGCCCGGGCCATACACTAGTTCATTAATAAAAAGTGATGTGTCATCTACAAATGAAATTTACATACGTAGTACATAACATTGAATCAAATTTGGGTTTCCTTCATCAAAGCTACGATTGTTGAAAATATCTTGCAATGTGTACATCTCTCGCACACATCGTAGGAATATACAGTTTTTTTGGAGAGACGGTGTAACGATTTATTGTAGCTGTAAGGTTGATTTTCATTTGAATCGCTTGAATGCATTTGAAAACTTGACAACCGTTGCGATCAAGTCTTTAGCTATGAATTAACAATAGGGCAAAAGATGATTACCTTTTTGATAAATCCTAACACACAAACAAACCCTAAACATGAACAAACAACAACTTTAACAATTTAGGCCAACTTTTCCTATGGAAAACTATAATTAAATTACAACAACTTTTCTGACCACATCGTGTGGATGGGGTTAATCATTCAGGGTTTACGTGAAACAGAGGTAACTTGTAAGGGTTACTGATAAGTGTCATTTATGTCGCTATTTTTAGGAGTTTTCTAGTTAGTTTTTCATAGTTTTTCTATCTTTTTACTTGGTTTTAATAACGTTTTACTACATTTGTCATGTTTGTGTGTGAAATGTCGTTATTGCTCAATTTTGGCTTTTCCTGCATATTTTGGTGGCTTATGACATTAGATTAAAATTTATTGGTTTACTCTTAAGTTTAGGAACACTTGGATAAATTCTTGCTCAAGATTGAAGAAATATAAAACATAAAATGACAAGTAATGAAGAAATGTGCACTTGATTTGCAAATATCATACTTCAAACGCCTATATCTTTTAATATACAAAACATTTTGGGGCGATTCTAATCGAAGATGAAAGCTTATCTTGAGAGCTTTCCAACGACAGGTTATATGCCCAATTTCGGTGTAAAACGTGGGAGATATGCTCATTTGAAGCTGAGCGGTTTGCCTAGTTCGATAGGAGCGGGCGCGCACCCTATGAGGAGCGCCTGCTCCAAACTTTCTAGAACGATTCTGCCATATTTTGCTTCAGCTAAGAGCGCCCGTGCACACAATTGGAGCACCCGCTCCTCTACGCGCTGCTCGACTTTTTGTGGAGCTTCCTAGGCAATTTAGTAAGGGGTATAAATAGATTTTTTTTTGCTCATTTTAGAGGGGGGAATTCATTTTTTCAGTAGTTTTTAGGTTAGTTTTAGGTTTTTATAGAGAGAAACTCTCAAATTTTGGAGAGAGAAAGTGAGAAACACAATGGTTTTCATGGATTTTGGATAATCAAAGGAGGAATTTGATGATTTGAAGATCTCCATCTTATATCAATGAGCATTCTTACTCTCTTTTTTCTTTATGTTTTCTTTAATTGCTTTGTTAATCATATTTGAGTAGATTTCCTTCTACTAGGTATTGAGTGAAACTTTTTAATGGTTAATTGAGTTATTTGAGATAAATTTGATGATAATTGTGTGATTAAATTGATTGAATTGATGATGGCATGTTGTTTGTTTAAGATTGGTTTGATCTCCCATGATAGCAAACTTGATTGCATATTAGTTTTAGTTTGACAAGGGATTGTGAATTAGAATTTATATATTTGATTGCATTTTGGGTAAATTTCTTCTATGTACCTAGTCAATGAGGGATCTAGGCTAGGAATTTGAGAGATTGCTCTTGAGTGTAATTAATTCCCATTTTAATTCTTTCTTTACATGATTGATTACCAAATGGATTCTCATTAACTTGTTAATTGTTCAAAGTGGATCTTTGCCCCTAGTAGTCTTTATAATATCTTGGTCTTTATATGTGTGTTAGTGTAGTTGTAGTTTCCAATATCCATAAACCGAATTCGGCGTAGCTTAAGCATTAGATTGAGAACAATCTAACATTACCGTTCCTTGTGGTTCGACTCCGAACTTACTAGACTTGTTTAGGGGTTAGTTTAGGATTATAATAAATTTTGTTTGGTTAAACCGAAGGTATATATATGCTCGGTTGAGTCTGTTAAGCCTCTTATTTAAACATATACAAGCTAATGAATTTACTCATTTAAAGATTGCTGCTTGTGAATTATTAAATTTATATGATCTGTTTTGGTTGATAAGCCTTATTATTGTTGATGAATGTAATTATATAGTAATGTCACATAATTTTTGTGTGTTTCTCATCAAATGGTTTAGTGGAACTCGTCGTGTAGCTGGTTATCACTTCAGCCTACACACTCTAACACATATAGGGTGAAGACAAGAGAATTGTCGGCCTTCTCCTATCATCATTAGATTCATCTTGTTTGATATTAATCCATAATTCAGTGTATTCTATTTATTGATTTTTTTGCCGTAGTTTTCTGGTGATTTTGTGAAACAATTATTGTAATAATCAGATTTACCAACATCTAGAAGAAGTTAAGGTGGAGCAAGAAATTATATCAAGTAGGATTTGATGAAAAAGACAAAGAGTACATTGCTGCAGCAAAACGGCTAGATAATGGAGTAGTTTTTTACATGTAATTTTATCAAAGGGCCATATTCTCCACATTTCACTATGTCGTGTTTTGCTTAGCTTCAGTGATGACATTTTTTTCCTCAAAAAACACTTATTTCATCTTAATAATTTGAAGAATATCAATGCATGAAACAAAAAACACTGGACTTTGTGAGTGATTTCTTACTTGTATGATAGTCTGCAAATTTTTAAAATCTCTCTCTCTTCTTTTTTTTCTTTTTTATTTATTTATTAATATCCTGATTTTTAAAATCTTATTTAGGAAGTTATGTGAGCTTTCGACAAATTGAGGAATCTGCAATTGTTCTTTAAGGATGAGAGCAGGTAGGCATGGTCTTTTAGTTTATGATCTTTGCGAACTTGTTTAGCATGCTGGCATTGTGTTACCGAGGTTGTAAATTTTAATAAATGGTTGGTGACATTGGCTTTGTAAACTATGAACTTTGATTGAATGAATTTCTTTCAAGGATGTTATGGAGTTGATTTGTACTTTGTTATCATATATGATTCTAACCTAAACTCCTTTGACACTTGAATTAGACTTCTGAAAAAAGAATACCTAAAAAGGCCCTTGAGATAGAGTCTTACCATTATACTAATTTGCCTCAAAAATTTTATAAGTATTATGTTAACAGTCTGTCTTGAAAAATAATCTTTTATTATTATTATTATTATTATTATTATTATTTATTATTTATTATTCAGCTTTGATGAAGATATAAGAACTTTCCATTACTATTATTACGAGATACTCAAAGTTTGTAGTTATCTGAGTTTCACCTTGAATCAACACCTTTAGAGAAGAGGGCCATGTCAGGTAAACTATTCAAATACTGATTATGGTCTGACATGTAGTGTTTGGCTTTGATGTAATACCCCGTATTTTTATGTATTTTTATAAAGTATTTAAGTATTAATAAAATGTATTGTCAAGGTCTCAAGTATTTTAATTAAATATTTTAAAGGGTTAAAGTATTTAAAATATAAAGTTTTATAAAAGTAAAATATATTTTGGGCCAAACGTTTATTAATTATTGGGCAATGTAAATTATTCCTACATA